GCATACAGGAAGGAGAAGAATCCCAAGATAATGGCATGGACCAGATCTTCAACAGAATCGTGGAAGAAAATTTCCTAAACTTAAAGACAGACATGCCCATACAAATACAAGAAGCATATAGAACACCAAATAGACAGGACCCGAAAAGAAACTCTCCATGGCTCATTATACTAAAAACACTAAACATACAGAACAAAGAGAGAATACTGAAAACTGCAAAAGAAAAACAAGTCACATATAAAGGAAAACACATCAGGATTACAGCTGACTTTTCAGTGCAAACTATGAAAGCCAGAAGAGCCTGGACCAAAGTATTCCCAGTTTTAAATGACCACAGATGCCAACCCAGACTTCTATACCCAGCCAAAATGTCTATTATAGTCGAAGGGGAAAGAAAAACCTTCCATGACATAAATAGCCTGAAGGATTTCATGTCCAAAAACCAGCCCGTCAGAGAGTTCTGGAAGCAATACAAAGAGCTGAAGAAAGGAATACCCAAGGAGTTGCAGAAAAAAATTCAATGAAGGTAACTGTAGAAAAGTACAACTACATCATCAATGTAAATAGAAATAAAAACGACAGGATTCAATACTCATCTTTCATTAATAACTTTAAATATTAATGGACTGAACTCCCCAGTCAAAAGACACAGACTAGGTGAATGTGTTAAGAAACAAAACCCATCTTTGTGTTGTCTGCAAGAAACTCATCTCACTTTCAAGGACAGACACTATCTCAAAGTGAAAGGATGGAAAAAAATACCAAGCAAATGGCACTAAGAAAAAAGCAGGTGTAGCAATCCTAATATCTGAAAAAATAGACTTTAAAACTTAATCAGAGGAGACAAAGAGGGCCACTTCATTCTGATCAAAGGAACAATGAATCAAGAAGATATTACAATCATGAACATATATTCACCAAACTCTGGTGCAACCAACTTCATCAAAACAATACTACAGGACTTTAAGACCCAGATTAATCCCAACTCATTAATACTAGGGGACTTCAATACCCAACTGTCTCCATTAGATAGGTCAAAGGGAAGAGAGTTAACAGAGAGACATCTGAATTAAACAATACCATATATCAAATGGACTTAACAGATATCTACCAAGTATTCCACCCAAGCACCAAAGGACTTACTTTCTACTCTGCACCCCATGGAACCTTCTCCAAAATCAACCATATACTGGGGCACAAAACAAACCTCAACAAATACAAAAAGATTGAAATAATTCCATGCATGCTATCAGACCACAGTGCAATAAAGCTTAAAATCAACCCTGGAAGAAGCCCTAATCACCATATGAATGCATGGAGATTAAACAACACACTCCTGAATGATGAATGGGTCAAA